GTCAGGTCAATAAACTTCTTGTACCAAAGATTGCATGTTCTCCCAGTTTATGCTTTTCCGTTTTTTTTGATCAACAATAACACTGCTATGTCAGAGTGAACAGTGCTCTCAAACCCAGAAACTGCTAGGAATGTTTACCGCACTGTTCTTCAGGTTGCAGCCAATGACGAGAACAGTAGCACTGTGCCCGCTGTGTACAGCACTCCCAATACTACCCCCAAAGACAATCCAGCTGCTGAAACAGTGAGCACTGACGGGGAAACCGATACCTCCCAACCAACCGAGGCGACCACAAGCCCGAATACATTTAAGCATGCGGATACTACTGAGACCTCAACTGTAGTCCCCACGTTGAACGAGCTTGTGGAATCCGAGGGCGTCACCTCAACGGAAGCCACTCTGCAGAGTACTGAAGTGCCCTCGAAGGCATCAGTGAACAGTAAAGGGGAAGAACTGTTATCCGAGTCTAAAGAGGCTCTTGCGGATGTTTTTGAGATTACCGGGGTTCCTACAACGACCGATTCGACGGTCAAACAGGATTCTACAACGCTTTTGGCAACAACCCTCTCTACAACGCCGGCAACAGAGACCTTAAGGTCGAGTACGGTAGATACCCTTCAAAGCCCTACGGAAGCGCAGTTGGACGTTTCGAACCTGAGCAAACTGTACTCACCGGACGGACCGCGAGATGTCGAAGGTAAGCCCTATGCGGGTTCAGTGAGAGAATTGAAGCCTTGTTGTTGTCTTCTATAGTAAAAGATTAAAAAACAACTTAAACTGAATGTATATTTTGCGCGGACAATGCGTAAGGGGCTGTATATTACGTCCTTCATATATTATCAAATAAAATAGTGAGTTTGGACATGTTCACTGGTCTCGAGTTAATTAATTGTCGTCCCCAAATTACTCACATGTTCGGCTTGGCTCCATTGCCTTGGTTGCAATTCTAAACTATACTTTAAAAATTTATTAGTGCGCGGCCTATTTTGTACATAAGGACAACTTGCCTGCAATCTCCACATTTAAGTTAAAGCAAAAGCTCAGACGCAACAGTACTAGATGACTTAAAAAACTGTAGTAACTAGGAACCGGTATTTTACACGGCCTCGCTAACGGTGAAATGCTCTGTTAGGGAGTGTCATATGCTTCTGTTTCGTTTTAACAAGAGAAGGAAGCGGAAAAATATTTTGTGTTTCTTGTTACTAACCTGCCGTAAAACCCAACGCAATGAAATCGAAAGAATTCATCAACGATACACTTAATTGCTTTAATTTCTATACTGTCCACTAAAGCGTAAAGCCTTACAAGAAATCTGCAGCCTAACTTCACTATAAGTATTCGAATTTCTGTCGAACCCTAGTCAAGTGCGAAGGTTTAAGTAAATTAATGTGCAGTTTTGCTACTCATTAACATCGCAATCTGTATAACCTTACTTAGGAGTTTGCGATTGGACTTGCTGAGGCTTTTAAGTGTGCAAAAGAAGTTAGGTCTTAAAGACCCAGTGGAACCAAGAAACTGCGTGATGACGTCGGAGGGTGGGGACTTCGTAAAAATTTTTCGCCAGCCTAACAAATCTCCCCTGGCACAGAAGCTGCCCTCGTTCTTTTTTTCTACGTTATGTAGGCTTGCAGCTACATAGAGATTCGTAGTGTAGGCATATAGTATTGTCGGCAAAGAGAAGGGAGACTGGAATGGACACGTCTGGCTTATTAGCCGTCGTCAGTCAGTCATTCCAAACCCCAGCGAGTGTAAATATCTTCCAATCTAAACCGGCAAGTCAACGAGTTCATGGCTCAAATGTTAGAACGTTAGACTCTAATCAAGAGGTCACAAGTTCAAGCATTTGATGGTGCATTTGGTGGGATTCGGTATGATTGACCGATGACAGCAAATCAGCTACAAATGACCACTCCAGTCTTCCTTGTCTTTACCCGGCAGTACTAGGTACAGAAGATACTGTTGTTTGTGCTTGCAGCTAAAGTTACTTGAGGGCTGTGCCCAAACGTATCATCCTCGCATTCGGAATTTTCAGTACGCTGCAGAATCATCCCGGATATTTCACCCTGTACACAGGCGGACCGCGGAGTTCATTGGTACTTTGATGCCATTGAACAGCGTTGCCTTTCGACGACAGACTGCATCTCCAATGAGAATAACTTTGAGAGTGAGCTGGAGTGTATGACTGCATGTCATCATAAAACACGTAAGTTTACTAAAAAAGGGTATGCCTCTATTCCATTTTCGTGATTTCCTGCCTTTATGGCCTCTCGATGCACAGCGGCTTCCCTTGTCGCATGAAGTGCCAATTAAAATTCTGAAATATATTTTGTTTTTCGGACTAATTACTTAAGTAGTCTTATACTACTGATGAGCGTGCGGCCCAATCTGAAGACATGTTAGTTACGCCAGGATGCTGGCTTTAGAAAGAGCCTCTTACTGATCTCCTGGACAAATTACTCACCGTAAAAAATTGCCACTTGAGTAGTATGCATTTTTCTCGTTGATTTTTAACGTCTTTACAAATTTAAATGTATTTCAAAGACATATTTCATATTTCTTATACTCGTTTGATAACGAATTACACCTTCGTCAAACATTTTATTACGAGATAGCATATCTTTCAGTTTTAAAATAGTTTCTGGTTACGAGATTTTTTACGACCGTAATATGTTCATTCAAAGTAGGTCATATCTGTCACTTTATTAATGCTGCCTATTGAGTATAAATTATGATTCAGCTTCAGTGCGAAACCTTATCAGAACTACGAGGCCCCTTCTCTGTACCTTATAAGGGAGGTACGTTTTCCTGAGAATGTAGACAGCATGTAGTTTTTAAGCCTGGAATTCAAGTGCGACGGCCGGTAGACTTTAAACGTATTGGGCAATTTAAAAAACACTTTTTATAACTGAAAGCTACCCTATGTTTAAGTAGGATATTTGTAGAACGCGTACATTTCTACCACTCCAGTACAAGAAAGAATATGTTTGTGCAGTTTTTCGATAACATATATTTTTACCTATAAGGCGTTGAAAAGTAATGAGAAAAATGCATAATACTTCAGTAGCTATTTTCCATAGAGTAAGTTTTTTGCAGGGACAGATGGATACAGAACTGCTTTGACTGATTTTCGTCCCTGCCGACCTAACCGTCAGCTCGGAACACTAACACTAACACAACACACATACGCACACGACAACTCGACCGTCGGCTTCGAGGATGTCCACTGTATGCTCTATGGTGCAAGGACGGTGACTGCCGATTGATAATAGTGAAAGTAGACTTTCGAGGCATCTACCTCACTTGCTCACCTTCCCCACTTGGGCCCGATGTCAAGACAATATCAAAAATGCCGGAGGTGGGAGAGGACGCAGGCCCATGCACTATAGGTCAACACAACCAGGAAACTAGATTCCAGCTTAGTGGGAACGCCACAAAGGCCACATTAAGATGGAGCTATTGCAGTCTGACTCTCAGTCTGCCAGCCAGCCTCTCCACATAGCAAACTCTTGACTTACCGCACAGTCCGAGTTTC